AAAAAATAAAAATAAAAAAATGCAGTCAGGTCAACCAAAACACTTCATGACTTTGTGCTAAATTTGCCAAATTGTCTCAATTAAAAAGAAAGTCAGAAAAAAACTAAGACGTTTCATTTTGACATTTTCTAAGTGGAATGGTTCAGATTTTTGATATGGAATGTCTGAGCATTTCAAAATTTACCTCCAGCTTATTCACTTTTTCTAAAGGGTAAAAATAGTCAAAAACTAAATGAAATGTTTCATTTTGGATCAAACAAAAGATTTTTTTCCCCCTACTTCTTCGGTTCACTGAAAAAAATCAGAATTTTTCAGTTTCGGGTCTGCCCCAAATACATTCATTTAAATTTTTCAGTTCAGCCAGTGAACTGAGACAACAGTTTTTCACACGGCTTCTCTTCTTGGCTCTCCTACTACAATTTTTGTGCCACTCTGGACAAATCCCTTCCCTTTTCTGTGCATCAGTTTCCCCATTAGTAAATGGGAGCCAGCAGGTGTTCTGAAGCTTAAATAATTCAAGTGTACGAAGTGCCTCCAGCTGCCAGATGGAAGTTGCAAATATCTCAAGCCCTATATAACAGCAAATTTGATGGGCCTGATTCTTCACTGCCTTGCACTTGTCATCACTGACACTAGTGCAAAGTGCTTCGACTGGGAGCCTTTAACATTCAGCTTGCGCAGGGCTAAATGACGCAAGGGAAGGTGCAAGACAGTGGAGACTCAAGCTGAAAAATTGCCTTTGAAATGAGAATGTTTTTCTCAGTTTCCCATAAGCTGTCAATGGTTCTCTAAGGCTTCTGTGCTAATAATAGTAAGCAGCTGGGAGTTATTACAAACCATGACCTTGTTTGACTATCTAGCGTCCCTGTAATGAGGCCAGCTTGTGGCAAAAGGTACATTTTCTGAATACACCTATGTTGGAAAACATACAAGGTCTTAGAGGCTTGTAACGAGATTAGCTAAGGCAGAACTTTAAATCCGAAAGCCTCGGAAAAAAAACAGCCAGATTCCTTGGAGCCATTTGTATCTGATGTAGCTGGAGAGCTCATTTGCACTGCTGACCAGCCAGGAAAATGAAGGGGAGCATGTCAGTGTGGAGTGGGGGGAAGCTGAGAGAATTTACACTCCAAACTCCTTCCTAATAGCCACACGGAGAGAAGAGACACAACTTGTGTTCATGTATTACACTTTTCCAGCAGGCGCCCTGCCCTGTATGTCTGCAGGGCTGGGGGTATGAGATGAGAAGGGGGATGAGAAGTCTGGCCTCTTTAGATTCCAGAGCATGGATCTCAAACTCAAATCACCATGAGGGCCAAATGAGGACTAGTACATTGGCCCGAGGGCCACATCACTGACACACATCCCTCCTGCTGTCCCCCACCCTGCCCCCACTCCACCCCTTCCATGAGGCCCCGCCCCTTCCCACCCCTTTCCTGCCCCCATTCCAACCCCTTCTTCAAAGTCACCACCTCAACTCCGCCCCCTCCCTGCCCCTATTCCAACCCCTTCAACCAAGAGAGGATTTTACCCAGAGAACATACTCTAAACTACACTAAAAAGCACAAAAAGCACTCTGGTGGGTTGGGGCCCAGCAAACACCCTTATTGCCCCACTCGTCTCCTCCCTCGGTCCCTGTCTTCTTTTGTGAATTGTTCCAGGAAGATTTGGTGCCAGTTACGATGGTGATTTTAGTGATGTGGACACCTATTCAGAAGGACCTGGACCAGAGACCTAGCACCTCATTTCACATGGGTCCCTGCCCTGGACAGCCTTCAGATGGAAGGCTGATATGATGGTTACCAGAGCAAGGATGGTGGTTTAATCTCTGTAACACAGCATGTAAAATGATGGCACCAGGTACTTATCTGACTTCCAATACCATAGTATCTGAGGACTTCACTGAGGCAGGGCTGTACTGTTATCCCCATTATACAGATGGGGAACAGAGAGACAGACTATGTGACCTAGTCACTGGACTTGCCTTCTGCTTCTGTCTGTATTGCTTTACCAATACCCTGAGACATCCAGCTTACCTGAAACAAACCTTTTTGGAAGTTCAAACCAGTTAGCTTATCTTTTTCATTTTTGCATTGCGCTCTTTGTCCTGTTTCCAGCTGGGCATGGAAGTAGAAGAGTTAAAATAATAGAGGTCAGGTCAAATTACAAAATTTCAAGGAGACTGTGAATATCTCAAAGGTCACAGGGCCATATATATTCAGGATTTTTTATTTGACTCAATGTAGAGACGAGGACTAGAGCCAAACTTCCACAAAAGTTCAGGGGTGTTGGGATCCAGGGTTTTGGTACAGGTCCATCTCTACAAAATACCAAGGAAAAGTTTGTTCTGCTGACAAACTCCACCTCCAAAAAGACATTGATTCTACCAATCCAAACTAGTAGATAGGTGTTCAGAGTTTTAGCTGGGCACATTTAAAAAAAAAATCACAAAAAATGACCATCACAAATGGCACTAAATGGTCCCATGGCCTAGCTGACACACTCAGTGGAAAGGTTAATAAGTGAATGGACCATTGACAATGGCACTGCTACAGAAGGTCCCTCCGTGGAGGCACACTAGCGAGAAAAGCTTGCCCTGCTGCTACTCATGCTGTGTGTGTGTGTGTATTATACATTATACACACACACACAGAAGATAAACAGAGGTGTTCATTCTCCAGAGCTAATAATCGAATACCTTTCACTAGAATTAAAGTCATTTAAAAAATGTAAAAGAGAATGGGGTTGCGTCTATTTTTAAACAGCTCAGAAAGTTGTTCTGGAAGAGAAACAACTTAAAAATAGCTCAAGAAATATGAAAGTGGACCACTCTCCAAAGATCTGTGACCTACTGAAATAAAAGGAGAGCAGGCTTTGGGAACCTGATTTTGACAAGTGAAGGCACACAAATTCCAGCGCGTGTTTCATTTTATGATGCAGTTTGATTTAGGTGTGCTTTAAAACACATGCTGTTGCTGATGGGGGTTTACACAGCATCATAAATGGATATGGTTTGTTAAAGACAAACAAACAACCTGTTCCATACCCTGAGGAGCTTACAAACCAAGTTCTATTTTTACAGCCTAAGTATCCAGTGAATGATCACTTTAATGTGTCTAGTCAGCTAGGAGTTTCATCACCTAGGAGAGGAGTCTTGCAGCTCCTTCTAAAAACAGCCAGGTTTGTGCTAGTATATGGTTCAGTAGGAAGGTAATGTCAGAGGTGCAGACCTGTCACAAAGAATACCTGGTATTCAGCTCCGTGAAGTTTCAGGTTTGGGATGTCAAGTTCCAGGCAAATTTTGGTTGTATGGGTGGTAGGAAATAGCGAGGAGGCTTTTAAGATAACAAGGGCCTCTACCTTCTAGGTCTTTGCATTTGGTAACCAACACCTTGAATTTCACCTGACAGGCACTACGGAGCCAGTGCAGGGAAAGGATCCTGGGTCGCTCAGAAGAGAGGAAGTTCACCAGATGGAGCTTCTAGGTGGATTCCAAGTTTAGCCTCATGTGGACCCTATTGCTGTAGAGCAGCCAAGAGGCTACAAAGGCATGGATGATGGAGGTGAGATCTGTATCTAATAGGAAGTGACACAGTCTCTACCACTGTAGGGGAAGGAGTGCTGTGTGGGTGACCAAAGCAATCTGTGAGTCTAGGAACCTGGGAGCAGTGGGGAGTCTAGTAAGAACAAGAGTTGTAAACCCCTCTCTGATGCCCAGTTGAACTGTATTTCACCAGGCCCTTAAAACACTTCTCCCTGCAGATCAGCATCACCACCATCTTGTCTGGTTTGAGCTCCAGCCAGCTGGCTTTATTCCAGCTCCCAATTACTGCCAGACACTGGGGGGAGTCTGTCAGCAGTGCTCTCTGGGTCAGAGGAGAGGAAGACACAAAGAGGGGGCATCAGCAACCCACAGCTTCTCACGCTGTCTCTCTCAGTAGCTTCATGTAGCTGGAAGAGAAAAGGGGTACCAGGACTAAGCCCTGAGGGATCCCACAACTCAGAGTCCCTGGGGAGAAGGAGCAGTCAGCCAGCTTCACCTGCTGGCAAGGAAGAGAAAGGGACGAGGGGAACAGTGATTCCACCTACCCTTGCTGGATTGTGTAGCTGTGTGAGCAACACCTGGTGATCAACAGCCTCCCAGAAGTTGAGGAGGATCAGCAAAGACATCCGGCCTCTGTCCAATGTCCTGATGAGATCACTGACCTCTGCCCAAAGCTCCCAGCTGCTGGACACAAAGCGTGGTCAGTAAGACCAGCCATTCATATTGTTTGACATCAGAATGCTTTAGCCACATCTCAATAATGCCTGGGTCTGGATGCATGTTAACTACTCTGGGTGTCAGAAATGGCATGGTCAGTTTCCATTTGTTCCAGGATCACAGGTACATAGAGACAGGAAGGACCAAGCTCTACCAATGACCACGGATCGATGTGGAGATTGGAGGAAACTGAACAAGTCAGGTGTGTGGCCTATCTGAACCTCAGTGATGATCCTTGCTTAATACCCCAGAAGAAGAAGAAAACTCCCAAGGTCCTCACTTGTCTCCACTCCCTAGAGACTGGGGAGATGGAATTCTTCTTTGCAGTGTGAATGAGAATCACTATCATGAAACATTTAATTGCATTTATATTCCAAGACTGATGGATCAATCCCTTGATCTAAAGCCTAACTACTGTGATATCTAGGCATGAACCACACAGTACTGAGAAAGAAAGATACCACTTAGTGTCCCATCAACTGTCTATTTTTTAAAGTCCTAATAAGGTGGATTGTGCCTTGATGCCCCATGTACCCTTTCCCTTGATAAAGCCTGCCTGCCTGCATTCCTAATCTCAATCTCCTCCACTCCCTCTCCCTCGCTCAGATGATGCAGAGTGCCAGCAAGTCCCTCAATGGTGTCATATCTGTCCTTTTTATTCATTGCAGGGTTTATTTTTAGCCTGAAACAACTGCTTCCTAAAAATGGAGTTCCTAATGACACAGGAGCTAGGCAGAGCTATGTAAGGTATCCAGGGCTTGGCCTCGCAGCTTCTCCTGTCTGTCTCTTTGTCTTCAGCCCAGGACTGCAAAGTTTGCTGCTTCCCACTGGCCTGGATTGATCATTAGGAAGGCAGAGGAAATATACACTCAGTCCAAACTTCACCCTGAGACTCTGGTTTCTGCTGGCTCTTTTTCCTTCCCTTCTCAGATATATAAGAAAAGACACCCCACACTATCTCCCAATGAAGATAGCTTGCTGGCTACTGGCAGGTTCTTACCTGTTCTTCTGCTGCAGGGCTGAAGAGGGACTGGACTTCCCCACCTACGATGGGAAGGATCGGGTGTTTGACCTGAACGAGAAGAACTACAAGCAGGCCCTGAAGAAGTATGACGTGCTCTGCCTACTCTTCCATGAGCCTGTGGGCTCTGATAAAGTCTCTCAGAAGCAGTTCCAGATGACAGAGATGGTACTGGAGGTAAGTGCTGGTGCATGTTTGGCTGCACAGCTGTTTCAGCCAGGGTCTACTACTGCAGTGCAGTTTGGGGCCATCCGAACTAGCCAGGGGAAAGGACTCATAAGGTTCAGGTGGGACAGATCCCCAAAGTATTGGGTGTTGAATTCAGCTGAAACCCTTCGGTCTGGAAATCTCATGAAAATAGGTTTTCCGGTGCTGCTGTTAGAATTTCTGCATCCATCCAAAACCAAGAACCCTTTTTCCATAGAAACAACAGAAACCAAGATGACTGAGCTTTTCCAACTCTCTGGAAAGAGTTGAGGCTCCAGTTTGAATGCTGGGCAAATGTTCAGGTTACTTTGTACTTTATCCAAGCTGTTTTGCCTGTCCATATTTTGGACTTGAACCCAATCTTCTAGCCCACTAGGAGGGCTCAGCAGAGAGCCCTTACTAAACAGTGTTGCAAAGACAATACTTGGCTGCCTTTTTAAAAAAGCTCTCAGTCCCTGCCAATGCTTAATCCTTTGTGCTCCCCTGACATTCAGTTACCTGCTTGGAGTCTTTCTGTAGCTTCTTATTAGTTTCTTCAGTATAACCATCCATTTCCAAGATGGAGAATGTGTGATTAATTACCCAGCGAGGAGAGGTTCTAATGAACTGATCCTTTGCAAAGGGAAATACAGTAAAAATTACACGGTAGATTTGTAGCACTGGTTCCTGGTCATAAAGGCACCTGAAAGCTACTGGGTCATACTGGGAAGGGGGGCACCTGAATTTAAGGAGGCGGGGAAGTGTCTTTAGATATTCATTTTCCACCTTGGTTGAGGAGGCTCCCCCAATCTCAGCTCGGAAAAAGTAAGGAGTGAAGAAGGGACAGTTACACTTTGCTTCCCAGATCTGGGGTTTAAATGTGTTGCATCTTAATAGCATGGCAATTGAAAGCTAGAAAAATATACACACTGGGGGTTCACTATCCTGACAGCATGTTAATCCAGATTCAGAATGTACCCATACAATTTAACAATGAAGGTGACAGAAAAACCAAGGAGATTATATTAACCCATCAAAACACGATTACTTGCCCCGGGTGAAAGAGGAGGTAGAGTTCTTTGCAAAACTGGGTTATCAACTGGGTAACTTAACTGCAGATCTCTAGCTGAGATGTTTGTACTGATGCTATAATTGCATTGTTATTTAATAGGGTAGTTATGTGCTACATAAATGGCAATTGATTACTACATACATATTTATGGAGGCTTGACAGAAGGTATCTATTATATATTACAGGTGTTATTCCCTGCCAAAAGTCTGTCCATGATGGTCTGTCACTAGCTATCTTATTAAATGTGTACGTGAGAACTTTATTTTATTTTATTTTTATTTTTTTTGCAAGGGACGGTCCAATGGTTAGGATATAATTAACTTTGGACTCTGGAGACCTGGGTTCAATTCCCAGCTCTGCCACAGACTTCCTGTGTGACCTTGGGCAGGTCACTTAATCTCCCTGTGCCTCAGTTCATCAGCTGTAATATGCAGATAATAGCACTTCAGAGGGGTGTTGTGAAGATAAATACATTAAGGAGTAAGAGGTGTTCAGACACTAGCATGACGGGGCCATAGAAGTACCACAGATGGATAGAACTATCATTCAAAGTGCTACCAAAATAAAACTCACTTAAAATGTATTCCTAAGAATCTGCCTGTTGGCCTAAATGAAGTGTGTTGGTGGGGTTTGTTTCAGTGCCTAGTGGACAGGTGTCCACAGTACAAAACTGCCCTCACATCTGCCCCCCTTTCTGGCAATCTCCACAGTGAGGCCAATGCAAACTGAATGAGCCATGGAGAGTCATATCTCTTCTCGCTCCTAGAGGTGATTTCTGTGGGACAGGGTTGTGGCACATCAACAGGACAGAATGTACTGCTGCTGCCAAGGGACCTTATTCTTTGTCTGTTCATAGAATGTTTTGGTGTCCACAGGTTGATGGGGGCCGGGAGTACACTGCTGACATGACATTCGCAGCAGAGATGGTTGGAAAGTTTTTGTTCCAACATTTTTCCATCAGAAAATGCCATTTGACTAACCTGAAATTTTTCATGAAATTGGCTCAATTTCAGCAAAATTTCATGTGGAAACAGATTAGAAAAAACATTTTGAAAATGTCAACACTTCCCCTTGTGACCTTTTCAGGATGGAAAGTTTCAATTTTTCATTTCAAAATGGCTTTTTGTTTCAACATTTTATATAATAAATCAAATAAAAACAGGTTGAAGTCAAATGAAACATCCTGGGTTTAGCTAAATAATCCCTCTTCCACCCCGCCCCCCCATTTCTATGTGCAAAAAATGTTGGCTTTTTGTCCATATGGGAGATTTTTTTTTTTAAATTGCCAATGTTTTTTGTAAGATGGAAAATCCATGTTTCAACCTGTGCTAGTTGTCAGTTCCTGGTTGGGGGAAGGTGGGGAAATATGGTTCTCTAGCAGCCCCTGCTGTGGGGCACTCTGAGGCACGAGAACAACTTCTAGTACGATGTTAGGTTTCAGAGTGATAGCTGCGTTAGTCTGTATCAGCAAAAAGAACGAGGAGTCCTTGGGGCAGCTTAGAGTCTAACACATTTAGTTGGGCACAAGCTTTTGTGGGCTAAAACCCACTTCATCAGATGCATAGAGTGGAAAATACAGTCGGAAGATATATGCTGTGGTGGAGGAGGAGCATACAGGGAAGGAGATGAGACAGTGGCACAGGGAGGGTGTAGGCAGAGACAGACCCTGCTTCAGAAAAGCAAGTAAGCATCTGATTAAAGTTAAGCACAGGTTTAAGTGCTTTGCTGAAATGTGGCCATAATGAGCAGACTGAAGAGTAATACACTTCCAAGGAAGCCACAGCACAGCCTCATGTACACCTGCAAAGACAGCCGCACAGTCTTATCACATATCTCCTCTCTCTGACACATTCATTTTCAGGGTGGTAAGAAAATGTGCCTTGTGAACAAGCCATTGACCTGGTGGAGGTAAGGGTCTCTGGCCCAAGTGGCCAAGACAATAAGCATATATTGGAGCCTCCAAAGGTTGCTTATGTTTTATTAGACGTGCAAGGGTCTAACTGGTAGTGGTGCCCTCCTCAGCCCCACCCACGACCCAAACCCCACCCACTCAAAGCCCATGTGCTCAGATACTATGGTCATGGGCACAACTTAAACAACCAGATAACAAAGAAGAGTAACGCCATAACTGACAGCGATGGTGCAGTGGGATTGCTCACTGTGTCTTCAGGTCCCTCGATGGGGTCCCATGCTGGAGTCCGGTGGGCTCCCTCCCTGGGTCTGGGATCTAGAGTCCTTCTCTGGCTTGCAAAGGAGTGGGCTCCTGTTGTCTGGCAACTCCTCCTCCTTCCAGGCAGAGTGCTCTTCAGCAGCTGCAGTTCCTTGGACCTGCTCCTGCATTTGCTGCCTGGCAGGGAGGAACTATGGCTCCTGCAGCTCCCCCATGGCAGTGGCTCCGGGCGTGGCACGTGGTGGGGAAGCAGCAGCTGGAGCTGGGCCTTTTCTGCCAGCCTCAGGCAGCTGCACTTCTGATTTTGTGCCACTCCCTGATTGGTCAGTGGTGCCACTAGGGGCTGGAAGGGGGTGTTGCAAAATGGCCACAGTGGTGATGGGAGGGGTGGGCGCCAGCGCTCTCTAAGCTGTGGCTAAAGGGCTCTTCTCTCCCCTTTCCCCTCCCACCCTGTTAACTTGTATTGTTATTGCACAGCACTCACGGGGCGCTGCTGTAACAGCCGCCAGCTCGGCTGATCCTGGGAATTGAAGCAGAGACCTTCAGAACTAAATATATTAGTGTCTACAGACTAAGCAAAAGAGCAAGGCTGGAACAGACTCCTGTCCTCCGTGGACCAGGGCCACAACACTCACTCATCACTGGGTTACACTAGGTCAGGGGTGGGCAAACTTTTTGGCTTGAGGGCCACATCAGGTTTCCAAAATTGTATGGAGGGCCGGTTAGGGGAGGTTGTGTCTACCCAAACAGCCAGGCATGGCCCAGCCCCCACCCCACCCCCTATTCAACCCCCACCCCCGCATCTCACCCCCCTGTTCCCTGACAGCTTCCCTGGGACTCCTGCCCCATCCACCACCCCTGCTCCCTGCCCTCTGACTGTCCCAACCCCTATCCACACCCCTGCCCACCAACCCTCCCTGCCCCCTTACCGTGCCGCCCAGAGCACCGGGTCAGGCTGCGACTCTGCAACCGCTCTGCCCAGCCACCCAGAGCGTTGTGCTCAAGGCGTGGTGTGCTGAGGCTGCAGGGGAGGGGCCAGGGGTGAGCCTCCTGGGCCAGGAGCTCAGGGCTGGGCAGGAGGGTCCCGCGGGCTGGATGTGGCCCGCAGGACATAGTTTGCCCACCTCTGCACTAGGTGCTTCACAGATAAATCAGCAGAAAAGCTCCCTGAAGATCTCAATCTAAATAGGCAAAGTACAGGAAGAAAGAGGAGCAGAACAATGAAGCTGAGGAGAGAAACATCCCCTCTCCTGCCCTTTCCTTTGGCACTCTCCTTTTCCCCTCGGCATCCCAACCTCACTTCCTCCTGTTTCTCCTTCCCCATTGCCTCTTCTCCTGTGTTTTCACAGTCCCTCTCCCATTTGAGACACCTGCCACTGGATCCATCTCTGCAGCAAACATTGTAAACTAAATCATTCCTCCTTCCACTGGGACAAGCATCCAGCCATAGGGACAATAATAATAATCTGTTGGATTAGGGTTTTGCTTCTGAAATGGGAGGCTTTAGTAAAGGAATTCAGGTTTTCAAATACTGACCAGGGAGGTTGCAATCAGGCATGGCCTGCATCCCTGCTTCTTGCCTTTGTAGGCATATGCAAGATCCTGAATAAAGAGGCTGATCTAGCCCAACCATTTAAAGTACCAAAGCAGCAGCATCTGCAGGCTGAAATTCCATGAAGCATTGCCCTAGCACAAACTAGTCTTATTTCAGTTAATAGAAGAGGAACATGCTGCTGCTTAGCATTCCAG